TCAGTATCTTCCCCGGACCAATGAAAAACATCAGAGGCTGTAGGATGAGTAAAGGTACAGACGTGGTCCATTCTTGTTTCAATCTCTTAGCGAATCTCTCTGTACATATATAACATATTTTATTGAATATAAATGTTTATTTCAAAAAAAGAGACCATACATTTGATCACAGTCCTATCTGAATCCCACACACGAAATGCACATGACGTGAGAGCGAATAACAGCGTGGCACAAACTTGTAAAATAAGGCGACGATAAAAATATCTGAAACAGATAGATGTAGATAACCAAATGAAATGGAAAAAGGAGAGTATAGTGCACAAAAGAAAATGCAGGCCTGTAGCTAGAAGAATGGTGGTTTAAAATAATTTGTCAGAATTGACAGAATCATATTTCCAGGAATTTTACAGTCTGATATTTTACTTTCTCAATAGAGTGATGTTCTTTGAATTCTCAAACCAATATAGACAGAGTGGGTTTAATCATCATCTGACATTTTAAAGTTATTTTTTTACATTGCTGTTGATCGTAACAGCATGAAACTTTCAAATAATATATTTCTACGCACGTGCAAAAATTTTGCTTGAACAAATACGTGTTCAATATGAGGTTCTCGAAGCAACGAAAAACGAAATTACACAAATATGAACAAAAACTAACTCGCTTGGTATCTTTCAGTATTGATAACTCAATAAAAAAAACTTTAATAATTTTAGATATATAAAATGTGGACAAACGGACACAGCCACTCTTATAAGGATTCAGTTTTGTACTTTGTGTGAAGAACGTAGAATATTTGTCAGAATGTCTTTATAAATGCGTTAAATTTCTAACCATGACAATTGTTAGTGTGTTAATTTTTCTGAAACACCCTGTTCTTTAAATAATCAGCTTATACAACGGAATATTTGTCTTACCAGTTTTATTATTTCCTGATAGAAACGTTACACTTTCCTCAGTGTTCTTCAGTGTGAAATTTGTTATCGGAGAAGTTGGATAATGGCGATTAATTATAACTGAAAGATTTTAATCAATCACCTGTAGATGGTCTGGAGTTGAACACCACGACTTTGCACGAAGCTTAAATCGATTTTCTCAACAGATCACCGTACAGACTTTGCATATTACATAAAATACAGATATTTAAAATC